ATTTATTCTAGAATGCACAAAAGCAAGTCAGTACTTGATTTGAAACGGCGATGCATTTCTCCCGGGTTATTCCTGATTCCTGACAGCCTTCAATTTAGAAAACATGAAAACCAATATGGACAAAAGCAGCATATGCCATACGTCCGTTTCCCTGCGGGAAATTATATATATTATATATATATATATAATTATATATATTATATATATAATTTTTTAATATATATTTTTTTCAAATTTGATTTTTATATTTTCTGTTTTACCTAAAGTTTTAGTAATTTTGTTGTATTTTTCAAAATTATTACCATGTAATGTTAGTACTGTAGTATTTTTTATATACACATATACTGTACGTATATGCACTGTATTTAGATACATTTATAAATATACCATCATGGTAATATGGTAATATTTTGAAAAAAAAAAAAAAAAAGAATTAGTTTTCACTTTAAATTTAACAAAGTTTTGTGTTTTTGTCATTTTTTAAATTGTCTATTTAGTTTTAAGTTGTATTTTTTTATGTTTTAGTACTTAAACGTTTCATACATTTATTTAATGTAATTATATATATATAATTTCTTAATTTATGTAAAATGCTGTTTGCATTTGCTTAAGGAGATGTGAAGCTGCTTTCCTGTCTGAGGTGATCCTGTTGGACATTTCATGATGTCTGGCTGTAGAATCTGTATTCTTTTTTTTTTCATTTTTGCTCAGAGTTGGTGCCCGAGGGCCGTCATGCAGAGGTGTCCCTTAGCCAGATCCTTTGGCCAAATCTGGATTTCAGTCCCGACCAAACCATCAGGCCGTGACAGCCACACTTGTGGCCTTGAGCGAAGCTTCTTAGCCCAGATTTCTCCAGAGACTCTGCCGGAGAATGAAGGCTTTCCCGGCTATCTTTGCAAATGCTGTATAAATATAGCAGAGGCTCACCTTTCCTGCATGTTGAGCGTGTGCCGCACTCTCTAACTCCAAACTTTGATTAATTATCCTCTCTCTAACGGGAGACTCACTTGACCTACATCCCGGTGTCTCCGGGGAGAATGTGTTTAGGTGCCAGAGAGAGAACTAGACCAGAACAGAGAGACTGTGGGTCTTTCAGAACCAGACTCATCATCATCATCATCGTCACAGGACGGACAAACACATGCACTGCACAAAATACATGACACTTCAGCAGCTCGCGCACTAATATATATGGGATTTCACCTCAAAATTAAAAGTTAAATAAGGAACATAATCTACATAATATTTAATAATAACAATGACATTATGTGTGTGTATATATATATGTATATATACAGTATATATATATATATAGCATTTTTTTTGCATTGTGACATTTTTATTTTTTATAAATGATTGATATACATTTTTAGAGCGCAATAACCGATATATAAAACATTTTACTTCAAATAATACATTTTAGTACATAATTTTTTTTATTTCAAGTAATGAATATATATATATATAATATATATAATGAATATAACCCCGGGTATGATTTATGTTTCTTTTCTTTGTTGTTGTTTTTTTGTTTGTTTTTTGTTTTGTTTTTTTGCATTACAATATTGCATAATTCAGTGGAAAATGAATATTAATTATTATTCTCTCTAAAAAAAATAAGAAAAAATTATAAATATATCAATATGTCTTCAAATATTAACACTTTTGTCCTAAAAGTCCTAAAGGATGCTGTTTAATAGGGTTGGGTACCGTTCACATTTTATCGGTATCGGTACCTGAATTTCGGTACTTTACTCTCTGTGTAATTACAAAAACATTTATTTCAGTGAAAAAATAAGTCCAAAAGTCTCAATTTCAACATTTTGAACAATAGGGCCCTACAAACTTTTTCTTTCTCGCGACGTGACTCTCACAGCAGCTCTGCGGATTATGTTTTTCTAGGGATGTAACGTTATGAAAATTTCATATCACGATTATAGTGACCAAAATTATCACGATTATCAATATTATCACGGTTTTGTTCAAATTAGATGAAAACGTTCAAAAAGAACTGATACACACACTGAAAACATTTCAATATGTTTTATATTTGAAAATCAATAAACAACAAATACAATTAGCAGCTATATGCACTTTTTTTTTAGCATAAACATTAAATTAACATTAACATGAAGCCCTAATAATAATAATATTAATAATAATAAATCACTTGAAGATCATGTGATCTTCGGTTAGGAGATCTTGTGATGCTTTTTAAAGCAAAGTTGGGGTTGATTTCGAGTTCACATACAAACATATCAGACTGATGCTAGCTGGACAGGATTTACAGCGAGTTTTCAAAAGCGTGATAATCAAACACGGTTTTGATGATAATTAAATGTTAAACGTAATACTAACCGTCAGTGCATTTTATCATGATTTATCGTGAAACCGGTAATCGTTACATCCCTAGTGTTCATGCTGTCATATAGTGAGACGCAGTGGCCGAAAATCACCACGAGCGTCACGCGTGCTTCAGTTTTTGTGTAGTAAACAAAACCGCGTTTCTGCCATTCATACATACAGAGGCTAGCGGAACATGCAGGACTCATATTTAAACTGTCTTTTTGCATTTTAATATTCACAGACACTAGTTCATATCGCCATTCCAATAAAGTGGCAGTGGCTACTTTTGATTTATTCGTCCAAAATTGACGAATTCCGTGGCATTCCGCGCTATAGAATAAATTACGTTTTTATGAATGACTCCACGAACCCGTCCGCGTTTTCTCAGAAATCATATGGCCCTGGAAATGTAACCACACTTCAGAACATTTCGGCTTGCCCTGTGTGTTGTTTGAACGAGTTGCAGGGGTGACCTCACGTCACAGTGTCTCTCTTTCTCTCTCTCTGTAGCGTATGCGCCCAGATGCGTTCTCGGGTACCGATATTTGGCACCGATTGATTTAACGTGAATCGGTACTCAGTAGTACCGACGCAATTTGGTCGGTACCCTTAAAAGTACCGAGTTCGGTACCCAACCCTACTGTTAGAGCATCATTGTGAACACAAATAAACCGCAGCAGATGTGACTGAATGCATGTTGCTATTCTATTCAAAATATCAAAAATTACTGCTTGATTTTCCATGTTGATTTTGCACTTCTGGCATAAATTAAGAAATTATTGTCACTGCAACTGAGTTTTATCATAAACGGGTCAAATATCGAAGCTGCAGTCTGAAATCTTTGTAATGTTGCACATTTTATAGAGATTTTGTCCAGAAGAGTGTGATGTTTTAGCATGCAGTGAATGGTGAACTACAGCAATCTGGGGCCGCCAGCCTCAACGCTCTTCATTTTATTTATGCTGAATATAGTTTCTCTCTTCTTGCAAAATCACCCAGTCATTTAATCAGTTTCATCTGCTGTATTTCTGTGATAACTTGACTTGCAGTCAGTTATTCTGAAGCAAATATGAGGATGTTCTTCTCATCTCTGTCTCATGACGGAGGGGGGTTTTGCTGTGCTGTGTTCATCTGTGCGTGACCAAACATCCCGCCGCTTGTTATTTGTCTTTGAAGATTCCTGTCAGGCGATCTTCGGCTGTTAGAACGCGTCTGAATGACACAGAAGCTGATGTTTGCACATATAAATGCCTCTAGAGTGATGTTTCCTTATGAGAGTGTGTTGAGCCGAAGCACATCCTGCAAAGTTTATGAAGTGACAGTTGCATTGAAATATGAAAGGCAATCCCTCGAAAATGAATAATTCTGTGTGTGTATGAAATACAAGTCACTCTTGAGCCTGTGATTGTTCACATACTGAAAATATTAGTGATGCTTTAAATCAGCGTTATTTTAATATAATTGAGATACTGTTATAGTTTTATAAATGTTTAATGTTGAATTTGTTTTTATTTTAAGATTTTCTGTTTTTATTTTTTATTTTATTTAAAGTTTTTGTAATTTTTGTACTTTGTTAATGTCTATATCATTTTTTATTTATTTATTTTATTTTAGTACATCAGTGTTATTTTAGTATCATTGAAATACTATTGTTTTCGTTCATATTTTAAATTAGATTTTAATTGTGATATTTTCTGTTATTATTATTACTTTTAATTTTAGTCAACTTAATTTTTAAGTTTTAGGTGTATTTATTTTATTACATTGAGTTAAATTTGATTTACTTTCAGTCAACATTTATTTCACATTAGTGTTATTTTAGTATCATTTAAATACTCTTTTTGGTTTTTAATTTATTTTTAATTTGATAATGTCATTGTTTGTTTGTTTTTTGGTTAAAACTTTAATAATTTAGTTGTATGTTTGTCACCATTTACATTTTTTAAATATGTCTACATAGTTTTTATTATCATTATTATTATTATTTAATTCTTTTAGTACAAGTTAAACTAAATGAGACATTTAAGAATAAGAAATCTATTACTTTGGCAACTAGATGGGACACATATTTTATTTTAGTTTATGCTTATTTCACATCAGTGGTATTTTAGTACCATTTAAATACTATTATAGTTTTTTTTTCTGTTTTCATTTTAAATGTAGTTCAAGTTTAGTAATATAGTTGTTTTTGACATTTTTATTAGTTTTTTTTTTTTTAAATATATGCCTATAGTTTTTATTTCAGTTTTATTTTAAGTCATTTTGGTGTTTGAAGTTAAACTAAATTAAAAAGGGGAAATGTTTCCCTGGCAAATACATAAAAAAAAATGTATTCTGTATATATATTTTTTGTATTACATGTATTTATTTATTTGTCTGTCTATCTTTAGGTTTAACTTTAGTTACCCTGGTTTTAAATTCGTGTGGCTATAAGAAAGAATAATGTTCTCTATTTTCACCAAAGTAGTAGATAATGTATTACAACCCTGCAGTGTTATCTAAAATATATAAATACATTTCTATAAAATAATCCTGTTGGTAGAAGCATCATGTGTGTTTATGCTCGTGGTTCTCTCTGCTCTGTAATGGATGTGTTGAAGGAGAAAGCGTGCTGTTGTCAGAATGACTGAAGACGTTGTTCCTCCATTGCTGTGATGTTTCGAGCTCCTCAGCTGGGTTCTGCTCAGGTTGCAGGTTTGAAAGCATCAGGAACCCTTCAGGAAGAAAGCGATCCTCACGGCAGATGTGAATCCACAGGAAGCGTGATAAATAAAGATTGTAATTGATTCCATTGCGAGGAGTATTTTTCAGCCACGGGTAGCTCCTCCGGGACGCTTTTGTGGGTTAACTGAATTAACACTGCTCTCTCGACTCAGAGAAAACCTGAAAGTAATTGAAAGATCCACAGGCGACTTTTCTGTTGCATTTATTCAGTTTATCTTCCAGAGGAGACAGAGACAACTTCACAAAGTGGAGTCAAACACTGCCAGAAAAAGAAAAGCCCAGCGTTTTTACATTAATCTCAGTCTTGTGTGATTTTCAGGAACGGTTCATCTGAAAAGAGAACGATTTTCAGGGAGTTCCCCGCACAAAGCTCTCATATGACTTACATTTTTACATATCCAAAGCTACCTATTAAAGAAGAACAAAGAAATTCAAGAGCCAACAATGATATTTTTATTGATGTTTTATATATGATTTGTTGCAGGGATTCCCAAACTTTTTTGTCATCTGAACCACTTTAGGCCAAACCATTTACTTGAAGTCCCCATGAGATTTTAAGTCATTATTTCAATAATTTAACAACGCTTTTGCATGTTCACTGATGTTGGTTAGTGTTCACATGACATGTAGATAAACAAATAAAATATTTTTTATGTCTTTTTTTAGTAAGTGTATTATTTTGACTTGTTCGTATTGTAAAATTATTTATTCTAAATTTAAATGTAAAACTAAAATTTGATTAAAATTTAAATGTTAAAGTAATCAATTATTAGCTTTTCATCAACTCACCTGTGGAAGAATTATTTAGGCCAAAATGAATTGGCTTAAATATTTGAATTGCTTATATAATGTAATTAAAATTTCATGGATTATATAGATTTCATATAAACTAATAATCTTAATATGATATATATTATTATAATATTAATATGATGATATATGAAGCGGGTCAGATTTCTGCACGGATAAATAAATCAATTGTTTCTTATTAATTATGTACATCTATTTGATTTTGTTTAAATAATTATATTTTCAAAATGCATTTCTTCAGATTGCTTAGAATCAGCATACATCTGTTAATTCTGAAAAAAATGTAATTAATTCAGTTAAAAAGTATGTACAGTAAACAAAATGACTAGCTGTGGAATAAATGTATGAGGTAGAAACAAATGGGATTTATTGATGATGAATGTATAAATCTGGTTATTGTGTATTTAAAACGCATTTAGTTTATTAGTACTATTACAGAAATCTTTTATTTATGTAAGACTGACAAATCTGCATCACATTAGTTTGTGTTAAAACTGTGTAATACAACTGGAAGGAAATTTATATGCAATTCAAATACATAAATCTTTCATTTGGGCCTAAATAATTGAGTGCATGATGAAGTGTTTATTTTGGAGCGAACTGTTCCTTTAAGACAAACAGCTGTTTGAATGTCAGGTTATGCATGAATTAAGTTTTTGTCATTTTGAAATCCCTTCAGTTCTTTATTAGACAGATTTTCCAAGATACTACTACATTTTTAACCATTTATTGATCAATCTAAATCTCATAATGCCTTCTAACACATTTGTTTTTTTGCTTTTTCGACAGACGAAAACTGGACTTGCCCTTTTGTACGACGAACACACGAGTAACACCTACGACGTTCGTTTAAAGTTAACGAAAGAGCTGTTAATCATACAGAAACAGGATGTGGTTTGCGTGAGCGGTGGCGACTTAAATGTAAGTACTGAGTCTTTACCTTCGATTCGATCACGATTCAGCCGCACGTTTCTCGTGTGCTCATCACTGTGAATCACAGTCGGCAGCAGAAGAGTGCGTTTTGTTCGTGACAGATTACAGAACAAGATCCATTAGACAAGTTTTCATTACATTTGACATCCTTGTCATGAAGCACATGCCACTTTATTGTTTGTTGGCATGAGATGCATCATCATCATCATCATTCATGATGCTGTCAAAACGCAATGAAAGTCATTACATGTGTACAATGCACGCTAGAGAACCCAATATAGTCCTAATCAACGTCATTAGTGAGTTTTAGAGCATATTTATAATTTGTTTTATAACTACACGTGACCTGATCCATCATTTAGAGTCACTTTGACCCAGAAACACATTTTGAGTTTTATGCACTAAAGTAAAAAGGAAAGTCTCAGCTCTCTAATGGTGTAATCAATGATGTTTCGACTGTAAACTGAGGTTGTCATAAAGCTTGCAACCCTTTCGATGTTATTTGACATAGTTTTATGAAGTGTTCCTATTTCAATGTTTGAATTTGAGACTTTTGTGTCTTTTTCAATGTTATTTAAAAACAGTAAAATAAATGTAGGTCAAAGACGTTGAGATGTAAAAATCTAAAGAAATTTACAAAAGTGATTATATGTCCATCGAAAGCACTTAAAATGCAAGTAAAGTGTCTACATTTAAGGTTTCAAATAAGCTTTTGGAAGAATAAAATGTCGATGTTTCGTTGAAATGTTCCGTTGTCATTCAGTGTAACACTTATAGTTATGTCAAAATTCAAACAACATGCTTATTCTGACCTGTACATATTAAAATATATAAAATAATAAGTGAGCATATTACATTTTATTGGGTTTTAAATGAGTAAAAAATTCTTACTGACAAACGGGCAAAACCTAGGATAGTGGCACATTGTAAAAATGTAAAATAACAACTAATTAGTATTTGGGGTGAAATTAATTAGTATTTTAATATGTCATAAATTGATTTTTGTTGTAAATATGCCTGACAAGATTGTTACACTGAATGAGATTTTAGTGGGTGTCTTCTGTAAATCAGGGGAAAATGTATGATATTTATTTTTTGCTCAGAAAAACAAAAACAAAAATACAATTACATTAAACAGAAAACTTTTTATTTTTTTATTTTTTTCTGGAAAAACAACAATTTAAAGCAGTATTGTTTTTATGCTTAAACCCTTTTTCGTCTTTGACCCATTTATTTATTATGACCACCAGTAAATAAATTAATTAACTAATTCATTAGTTAATTTATTTATTTCCCCCTGGTATTACCTGTATATGAAAGTTAAGGCTCTTTGTCTTTTTTATGTTACTGAATATTAAACACATAAACAAATGATAAATTATTTATTTATTTGACTTTTTTGTTTATTTGGTTATTCTTGAAAGTAAATTTTTTCTTTTTCTGTTTATTTTTTCCCCTGATATTACCTTTATATTCCCTTCCCCTGATATGAGGCTTTTTTGTCTTTTTAAATCTCATTTAAAATACATTAGACACACAAACAGTAAAATGCATTAATTAATTAATTTCCCCCTGATATTACCTGGATCTTTATTATTTATGTATTTATGTGTTTATTTGTTTATTTTTGCCTGATATTACCTGTATTTGAAAGTTGAGGCTTTCTGTTATCTTTAAAAAAAAATAGACAAATAAACAGTGAAATATTTATTTATTTATTTATTTTGCCTGATGTTACCTGATTTGAAAAATTGTTGTTAATGCTATTTAATAAAAACAAACATTGAACACATCAACAGTACAATTAATTTATTTATTGCCTGTATATATAAACAATTTATGTATGTAAGTGTCGCCTTATGACCACTTCTTTAATTATGTGTTATGCGGTTGATGCTATGAATATTTTACCAATTAAATTCCCATTTTTTAAAGCACAGAACTGTTGTACTTCGAAGACAGCTGACTGGAAAATTTTCCCCTGATATTACCTGGATCTTTATTATTTATGTATTTATGTGTTTATTTGTTTATTTTTGCCTGATATTACCTGTATTTGAAAGTTGAGGCTTTCTGTTATCTTTAAAAAAAATAGACAAATAAACAGTGAAATATTTATTTATTTATTTATTTTGCCTGATGTTACCTGATTTGAAAAATTGTTGTTAATGCTATTTAATAAAAACAAACATTGAACACATCAACAGTACAATTAATTTATTTATTGCCTGTATATATAAACAATTTATGTATGTAAGTGTCGCCTTATGACCACTTCTTTAATTATGTGTTATGCGGTTGATGCTATGAATATTTTACCAATTAAATTCCCATTTTTTAAAGCACAGAACTGTTGTACTTCGAAGACAGCTGACTGGAGGTCTCGGTCTGAGTATCAAAGTAGGTCTTTTGCTTCTTTTAATATTGCTCATTCACTTTAAAGAGCTTATTTAAATGTGCTCAGGTAGTGCACGCGTATCTCCACAGGCCAGATAATTATTGCGCAATATAAGTCTTTTAAAGATCAAAGAGAATCTTGATATAAGGATCAAGTCTCATTAGTTTTATTCACAATAATCTTTGAAGAGGCGATAGATTTGTATTTCTGAACAGTGCTGGATGTAAGATGTAGAAGTGAATTTCCTTGATGGCTCTTCATGCATTTCAGGGGGGAGCAGAACATAAAGTGCCTGTGGTCATCTCAAAGATTTTCAAAGATCAAGTAGGTAAGATGACAAGCGTTCCTCCCATCCGCTGTAAAGCAAAGCAAAGCGCTAGCGATAACTGTTAAAGGAGTAGTTCGCCCACAAATGAAAATGTGCTGAAAATGTGCTCACCCTCAGCCCATCCCAGATGTAGATGTTTGTTCTTCATCAGATTTGGAGAAATGTAGCATTGCATCAGTGTCACAGCAACGGATGCTCTGCAGTGAATGGGTGCCGTCAGAATGAGAGTCCAAACAGCTGATAAAAACATCACAATAATCCACAAGTAAACCACAAGCCAAAACAGCTCTAAACAAATATGTGGCTGGATTTTGATGTGAGAGACAACAGGAGATTTTCACTTTTTCACTGGAGGAAGCGTTATTATGGATTATGGACTCATATTTTAGCCGGAAGCATTGGTTTGAAGTTAAAAATATCTTAAAGGGATTAGGAAATGTGTTTTCTAAATAATATTCTTGTTTTATTTTATAATGTTTTTGTGAGGTGCATTTATAATCTTAATGTTTTTTTGTTTTTTTTTTCCATCAAAAGTGGCCAACATGTACATATAAATAGTCATTTTTTTACCCTGAATTTCGCCTCTGATTTGAATGCTATGTTGGAAGGGGTGTGTCTCCTGTGAGACTTGAGTGGAAACGCCCACTACTGTGATTGGATAACATATTTGCATATGAAATGAGCATTACATGAGGAACTCTCTCAAAACTTTACTGCATTTTTGATGATGTTATTGTGAAAAGTGATTAGCTTTATAATTAGAACAACTCCCGTTGCGTCAAGGCTGCAGCCAAACAGTCATGTTTACTAAACGCAGCTTTGGTCTTCTCCAGATGTTAACTGATGGACTGGAGTGGTGTGGATTATTGTGATGTTTTTATCAGCTGTTTGGACTCTCATTCTGACGGCACCCATTCACTGCAGAGCATCCGTTGGTGAGAAAGTGACACAATGCTAGATTTCTCCAAATCTGATGAAGAAACAAACTCATCTACATCTTGGGTGACCTGAGGGTGAACTATTCCTGTAATATATGGTGTCTTGTAGAGTACAGTTCTTGCTACTTTTGTTTTATATTTAATATAAATGCACTGCACAGCCTAAATGTAGTCCTTTTGAAATCCATATAATTAGCACTTGCTGAACAGTATTTGAGAACGGTTTATCTTTGTTGCATGCTATACATGATGATGTTATTGTGAAAAGTGATTATTAGCTTTATAATTAGAACAACTCCCGTTGCGTCAAGGCTGCAGCCAAACAGTCATGTTTACTAAACGCAGCTTTGGTCTTCTCCAGATGTTAACTGATGGACTGGAGTGCAGGTGTGGATTACTTGTGGATTATTGTTATGTTTTTATCAGCTGTTTGGACTCTCATTCTGACGGCACCCATTCACTGCAGAGCATCCGTTGGTGAGAAAGTGACACAATGCTAGATTTCTCCAAATCTGATGAAGAAACAAACTCATCTACATCTTGGGTGACCTGAGGGTGAACTATTCCTGTAAAACATATTTGCATATGAAATGAGCATTACATGAGGAACTCTCTCAAAACTTTACTGCATTTTTGATGATGTTATTGTGAAAAGTGATTAGCTTTATAATTAGAACAACTCCCGTTGCGTCAAGGCTGCAGCCAAACAGTCATGTTTACTAAACGCAGCTTTGGTCTTCTCCAGATGTTAACTGATGGACTGGAGTGGTGTGGATTATTGTGATGTTTTTATCAGCTGTTTGGACTCTCATTCTGACGGCACCCATTCACTGCAGAGCATCCGTTGGTGAGAAAGTGACACAATGCTAGATTTCTCCAAATCTGATGAAGAAACAAACCTCATCTACAGCTTGGGTGACCTGAGGGTGAACTATTCCTGTAATATATGGTGTCTTGTAGAGTACAGTTCTTGCTACTTTTGTTTTATATTTAATATAAATGCACTGCACAGCCTAAATGTAGTCCTTTTGAAATCCATATAATTAGCACTTGCTGAACAGTATTTGAGAACGGTTTATCTTTGTTGCATGCTATACAGTTCAAATGTATTTTAATCACAGCGAATTCAAGACTTGATGCATGTCGTGCTGCATTGCATTTGCAGTTTTATTGGTTTTTATTAGCTTCCCGCTGTCCTTTCTTACTTCTGAGATGCTTAGTGTAGAAATATATCCACCCTTGATATCAGAAAGCTTATGAAGTTTCATCATATTTGTCAAAACGCATTGAACTAAAACCCAGATTTGTGTGAAATTCATCCCAAAGCACTTGACTAGATCGAAAGGCTCCTCAAACTCAAATCCTGATTGCATGTCATCGCATTAAAGCACTATTAAATGAGTAATTATGTCCCAATCTTTCCATTAACCTCTGGCCGGACCGTCCGGGGCCGCAGCCGATCAGACGGGGATGCTGTTTATCGGCGACGCCGTGTTACAGGTCAGTGTTTCGGGCTTTTGCACGCTCTCGTTCCTGACGCGGCCCTCGGGGGCCAAGGGTCCATGTTAGAGCAGCGTTCCCTCTGAATTTTAATGATGCTTCCCTCTGATTCATTTACTCCGGCTTGACTGGAGGTTTAACCTTTATCTCTTTGTATGAATCAGAGGAACAGCAACAGAGAGAGAGAGAGAGAGAGAGAGAGAGCAATAAATAAAGTAATAGTTCCTGTGGTGCGACTGAAACAAATGGTTTTATTACATTTTGAATGTCATTGAAGCTCTTTATATAAAGGCTCTATAAATACACATACAATACAAGGTGAAGTAAAATTGATTCATTTCGGTTCATTTGGACAGTTTGTATTTAATCAGACAAAGAACTTGCAGCGTTTTAGTTTCATAGTAGAGGATGTGGGTAAATGCTGCTGTACTTTACTATGTTTTCAACTCAGTTAGAGGTATATTTTTTTTTAAAGTTGTATTTACTGTAAATTTACTGCTAATTGAGAGTGTAATCAGAGCTTTTATGCCACAAAATTATGGCTCTTATTATATAATTTCTTTAAAAAAAAATCTTGCTTACAGATCTCAACCTTTTGAATGGCTGTGTATATATAATAATTAATACATTTATATACAGCTGTGTATATAATAATAATAATTATAATAGCACAAACATTTTTAAAATGATTAAAATGGAACCAAAAATATAAAATGTTATATTATATCATTTACTAAAATTATATATGGCGCTTATTAAATTATATAATGGAATAAATATGCAATTAAAATAATTGTGTACCCTTGAATATTGTGTGTGTGTACAGTATATATAAAATGAAATTAATAATAAAGTAATGCTTTTATTCAGCAAGGATGGATTAAAATATTAACATTTACATTTAAAATTGAAAGTGACAATAAAGACATCTATAATGTTGCAAAATATTTCTATTTCAAATAAATGCTGATTGAAGTTTTTATTCATTAAAGAAACCTGAAAAATAAAATGTATGACCGTTTCCACCAAAATATTGTGCAGCACAACTCTTTTCAACATTGATAATAATCAGAAATGTTTCTTGAGCAGCAAATCAGCATATTAGAATGATTTCTGAAGATCATGTGACACTGAAGACTGGAGGAATGATCACAGGAATTAAATACATTTGAACAGATATTCAGCTATTTTAAATTGTAAAAATATTAAATTTTTTTTACAGTTTTTCCTGTATTTTTAAACAAATAAATGCAGCTGTGGTGAGCAAAGAGACTTCTTTCAAAAACATTTTTAAAAATTGTGTACGGTAGTGTATATACATTTCCAAAAAATATTTCTAAAAATAAAATGTTGTATTACATTAAAGAGAATTTGTGGAATAAATTGGGTTAATTGTCAAAAAAAAAATTATGTCAGAATGCAAAAAAAAAACAAAATTAGAATGATTTCTGAAGATCATGTGCCACTGAAGACTGGATTAATGATCACAGGAATTAAATACATTTGAACAGATATTCAGCTATTTTAAATTGTAAAAATATTTAATTTTTTTTACAGTTTTTCCTGTATTTTTAAACAAATAAATGCAGCTGTGGTGAGCAAAGAGACTTCTTTCAAAAACATTTTTAAAAATTGTGTACGGTAGTGTATATACATTTCCAAAAAATATTTCTAAAAATAAAATGTTGTATTACATTAAAGAGAATTTGTGGAATAAATGTGGTTAATTGTCATAAAAAAAATTATGTCAGAATGCAAAAAAAAAACAAAACATTTTTTAATCATCTGGCTTTGCGGTGAATTGTGATCTCAATATGTTTATTTGAATATTTTCTTTTCCGTTTGCAGGTCAATGGCATTAACGTGGAGAAGTGTACACACGAGGAAGTCGTGAGTATCTGCTCGGCTCTTTGGTTTGTGCTCTTGAAATGACATTGATACAGAATTAATCAGATTCCACTGAAGCGCTCGGCCCTTTTATATCAGCAGCGAGTGATTCGTTTCTCCCTGAACGGCCTCAGCTGTAACTGATCGATAGTGAGTAGATTCATCACACGCCGATCTCGAGAGAGAAGCGCTCGCTCACTCCGGCAGGTTTTTCTCTGTGATCCTGACAGCTGTTCCTCACATCTCCATCCAGACGTCAGAGGACGTGATTAGTGATTTCCCCGGACAATCGCAGACTAACTAAGACAAGCTGACCATGACAGAAGATGACAGAAATCATCCTGTAGGACAGAAACAGCACAGATGAGATCTGTAATGATCAGTGGAGATCAAATTGAGCTTCTGCTTAGAGTTTATTCTGATCCCAGTCTCTGCGATCAGAAGATCTCAATATGAGTTCAAACATTTCGAGTTCCTCCAACATCAATGATCTGAGCTTCTTTTTACATTCAATTTATAGCTCGATGTACTCGTTTTCGGTAACACTTTACAGTACAACCTCATTTGTTAACATTATTAATGCAAAAGCTAAAAATGAGCAATATATTTTTCTAGCATTCCTTTAGAACAGATATATTTTTAATTATTTGAAATATTTGTAATATATTTATCTAGCATTCTTTGTTAATGTTCGTTTCTAAAAAATACAATCTTTCATGTTCATGTCATTGTTGTTTTAGTATCATTGAGATACTTTTATAGTTTTTTATAAATATTTTTTTTTATATTTTCTGTTTTCATTTTAATTTTAGTTAAAGATGTAATACTTATATTGTGTGTTATTATATATATATATATATATTATAATAATTTAATTATTAATAATTAATAGTTTTTAATTCAGTTTTAGTTATTTTAGTACGTTAATTTAAACTAAATGAAAATGAGAAATGTTGCCTTGGTATCTTGCTGAAAGTTAGTTTTATTTAATAGTTTATTAAAATTGTATATATTATTTTTTTATATTTAGTATTTCAGTTAAAGGGTATTTTATATAAGGTGTTTTTTTAAGTTAGCTTTTATAGCTCTGGTTCATGTTAGTTCACAGTCTGAGGAGAAACAAAGGAGAAACGCCTGAGACAAAGCTGATGCATAATTAAAAGTCTCCTGGGCAATAAAAAAGCAATAATACACGTTTTTTATCTGGGATTTTACATACTGTAGGTGTCTCATGTTTGAGATGCGAGACCAACCTCATGAGATCATTTCTGAAAAATGGGAATGGTTTCTTAAAGCAGTCTTTTAAATATGATTAAGCGATCAGAGCCAGATTATAATGATATTCACTCGCTGCATGGTCATTATCATTGAGTTACCCAGCACTCATAATTCTACATTTTATAATCTAGTTTAAAAGTTCAAAATATCTCTATATGAGCTCAAACATGTCTTGTTTTCAATAAGATTGCTTATTTAAAGGAATGTCCCTGGTTTGCCCTCCTGCGATGAATGTCTGTGAGTGTAAACAGGCTTTAGATTGAAGGCATCTAGAGTTTTGAGGCTCAAACACACACAAGGGTTTCTTGGCGAATGCGTGGTTTCTTTTAGCATCAGCTCTCTGTGGAAATGTTGTACAAGTGTGTCATGTTTTCATCAGATTTGTCAAATTAAGTCACTTTTCTCGCTGTGGTTATGATCAAATGAAGTCTAAAAGTCAGCACGTTATCAGAATTGATCCTGTTTCTGAAACTGCATTCAGATATGACTTATGATATATATATATATAACTGTAAAAATTAAAATTGTTGCCTTAGCAATTAACTGAAATATGTGTGAGCTGAATTACTTAAACTAAAACTGAAATGAAAATAAGTTAAAAAATATTCAAATGTAATATTCTCTCTCTCTCTCTCTCTCTCTCTCTCTCTCTCTCTCTCTCTCTCTCTCTATATATATATATATATATATATATATAAAATAGTAAAAAAAAAACATCAAAATGTCAAAAGCATATAACAAAATTATGTGCAACCAAACAACATTTCCCATCATTCTCTGTAGCAGCACAATAATGATAAAATACACAAATACAAGATCAGTTAACAGTGTTATTTTTATTATAATGTATTTATTACATTATTTAAATATATACATATTCTGAATTGGCTTTTGTTTTCATATTTTCAGTTTTCATTTTAATTTGAGTAATTGTATGTACTTTTGTCATTTTTATTAGTTTTTGGTCTTTTTAAAAATATTTCTATTTGACTTTCATTTATTTGTATTTCAGTTTTACTAATTTTAGCACATTTCTTATTTTCACTTAATATTTTAAGATTTATACACTGAACAAAATTATAAACGCAACACTTTTGTTTTTGCCCTCATTTTTCATGAGTTGAAGTCAAAGGTCTAAGACTTTTTCTATGTACACAAAAGGCCTATTTCTCTCAAATATTGTCCACAAATCTGTCTATCAATTAATATTTATATATTATAAAAAAATTATAAAATTTAAACTAAAATTAAATACATTTAATTTAAATTGAATGCCTCCTTGCAAAGTATTAATTTCTTTTTTTTTATTATTTTGTTTTATTTATACATTTTTTATAAATAAATCTTACACACTGTTATGTGTTAAATCAGGGTTTCACAAACTAGTGTTTGTAAGTTTATGAAAGGGTAATAATTCATACAAATGTAAAATTAAAATGAATCTTTTAAAAATAAAAACAATATTAAAAATAAAAACAATAAACAAACAAACAAAAACTTACTAAAAAATATGGAATTTTACATGTTCTTGCATGTCATGTGACCATTAGCTGACATCAGAGGACCATAAAACATTAAAACATGAAACTAATTTAAATTATTAAATATTTAAATGACTTAAATTAGATTTAAGTAAATATTTTAGGTCAGAGGGGTTCAGTTGGCAAAGAAGTTTTGAATCCCTGCATGAGATGATGAAATCTGAAGATACGAGACACTGACGGAGTAATTGCTTGTCTAGCCTGAACCCAGCGGAGAGGTCACACGACGCGTGCTGTAATAACCATTTATGAGAAATCTCTGAGAGATTACATGCTGATTGCATAAAGTGTTGATTTAATCGAAATGTTGAGGCTCCTCGACTCAATTAGGTGTGAATCAGTCATTTAAATGCAGCTCAAGTGCTTCTTCTCATCTTGATATCAGGAGTATGTTTTGTCTCTTTTATATCTCTTTGAAGGTTCATCTTTTGCGGACGGCAGGGGATGAAGTCACCATCACTGTACGCTACCTCAGGGAAGCGCCGGCCTTCTTAAAACTCCCATTAGGTAGGTTTGCTTCACATCTGAGCTCTGTTATAAACCTCACTGTCTGGACAGGCAGCTGCCTTCAAAGGAAGCATCCTAACTGAAATGCAACCTCATTAGTGAGTGATTTGGATGCTCTCCATAATCAGAAATATTGCATTTAATACAAATTGCATGGCAAACGCATGGGAAACTGTTGCAATGCATGCTGGGATAGTCTTCTCTGCAAAGTATTAATGTGATGCTGCTGAATTAAGGTTATTTGTCATAATTAAGTTTTAACTGTAAATGTTGCTTATACAGTTTAGTTTGAATGCACTTTGTGCTCTGTTGATGAAGAACAGCAATACATCTTAGCAGACGATGCCACTAATTTAATCAGTTTATTAGGCAGCCGAACAACGTTTCATCTTATCATTCTCCGTAGCAACACAATAATGAAAAAATATGCAAATATAACATTAAGTACCAGTGTTATTTTAATATTATTTATATACTGTCAGTTTTTATTAATATTTTGTATGAGCATTTTTTTTTTTAGGTTTTAGTAATTTTGTCATGGGCTATTGTCATTTTTATATATATTTCAATATAGCTTTCATGTATTTTTTTTCTTTCAGATTTCGTTTGAGTAATTTTAGTAATTTTTTAAGACATTTGTTATTTTAGTAGTTTAGTAGTAGTAGTATTTTAAACGTAAACTTTTTTTTTTCATTTATTTGCCAAAGCAACATTTCTTATTTTCATTTTAAGGTTTAGGTTTTTCATCTAATATTTATATATTTAAAATATATTCATGTGTGTGTGTGTGTATGTGTGTATATATATATATATATATATATATATATATACACAATTTATTTTAATTGCTAAATATTTTTTTAAATGGTTAAAAATTTTTAATGATCTTATTTTTAGTTAACAATAACATCACTGTCAGTTATACACCTAATTGTAAAGTTTATTTATTTTTTCATCTAGTATTTCTATTTGTATACATTTATTTTTTATGTGCGTGTGTGTGTGTGTGTGTGTGTATAGATACTTCTGTTTTGTTATGTCATCACTTGAAAGCATCCTGGGTATTTGTCATGAAGTGAAAAATTGATTTTCCAAGTCATCCCTTTTTCTTCTGACTAAAATTACTTGAATGAACGTCACATTTCATCTAGTTGGAAGTAGAAGTAGGAGCTTCACAGACGAATCTGAAGGCAGCATCGACTCTGCAGGAAGGTGAATCTCTCGGGACTGAAGCGAGCAGCTGTGTGCTGCATGAGACAGAAAGACGACTTTCAGAATGGCATGTTGTAGATTCCCCTGCATGAAATTTACTTTTTGCGCTCTGCAATTTTCCAGTGACCCCCGTGTCGGAACTCCTGCGTCTCGTGCATTTCACACTCACCTTATACCCATAATCTACTGTGATGTTGATGTGCATGGCATCACGACAACCCAGAAAGCGGCTTGCCAAGCTAATACATGTCATATCGCGTGGATTTAGAAGTGTGGAGTCACTAGAGTAGATTTGCACACAGTATGAGCTCTGCTGTATATAGAATATGTAGTAATCTGCCGTATTCCCTCAGGTTCACCCGGACCGTCCAGCGATCAGAGCAGCAGGGCGTCCTCGCCGCTTTTCGACAGTGGTTTGCATTTAAATGGGAACTCGAGCAACACGGTAAGTCACCTTTTGTATCGATGTGAGCTTCACCTCCGTTAAGGAGCTTATTCATAAGCCTCGAAAGTGAGACAGTTGACAGAATCAGGTTGAAAAGGCCTCTTTGTCAGATAGAGAGGTGGACCTGACTCTAGATTGAGCGCTGTTGGTTAAGGCGAGCATCACTATTATTTTTGCTCATAATTAGGGTTAGCAGTTTTGAACAAACCTCCAATAATTAGAGGTTTTAATAATTAAATAATTTCCCTCAGAATTCTCAGTTTACATCTCACAATTAAACTTGCAATAGCCAGATATAAACTTGCAATTCAGAAAAAACTCTCATAATTGCAAGATGTAAATTCGCAATTGTGAGTTATTCATTGATGTAAAGTCATAATTCTGAGAAAAAAAGTCAGAATTGCAAATACTTTATACATATAGTTAGGTTTTAACTATTTAATGGTGCAACACAAAAATAATTAGTAGTGCATAAATTGTAACTTAAACTAGGCTAAGTTGTAATTTATGCGCAGCTGATGCAACCGGCCCCAGATTATCATTTAGACTTTTTTTAAATACTGCTAGTTACCATCCATAACACTGCTGTCCTAAAAAGAAGCCTCAACTACACCAACGGCCCATTCAAGCAGGATATAGAGGTCATGTATTTCAATCTGACCTTGAAATATCATTGCCAAGGCTCCTCGCTGCTAGTTAATAGAGTGCAGCAGCCACACAACCTGACAGACTGAAAATATCCTGCCGTCATCTGAACGAACACGCTGTGTCTTGTTAAGCCACCGGTCACTTTCTCATTCAAATCAGAGAGCAAAGGGTAAGGCAGACGTCTGACTCGATCTGATCACAGCTCACATGAACACGCAGAGATTTACATGCTGTACATTAATGTGAGGACATGCGTGACACTGAGACTCTGGGGAAGCGGCGGCCGAGCTGCGTGTCAGCAGGTGAAGCTCTGAGATCTGAGACCTGCATACAGCCTCTGAAAATCCATTCACGCCTCAAAGAGAGAGAGAGAGAGAGCGCTGAAAATGAGAAAATCTCAGAGCGCCGACAAATCAAGATTTCTGTGTTGGATGCGACCCTAAAGTCTATAAATAGAACAGAGCTCAGAGCTTGGTTAGTAGAGTTTTTTTGCTAGGGTGTTTGCCAGGACGTTGCTACGGGGTTGCTGGGGTGTTTGCCAGGACGTTGCTATAGGGTTGCTGGTGTGTTTGCCAGGGCGTTGCTACGGGGTTGCTGGGATGTTTGTCAGAGCGTTGCTATAGGGTTGCTGGTGTGTTTGCCAGGGCGTTGCTACGGTGTTGCTGGGATGTTTGTCAGAGCGTTGCTATGGGGTTGCTGGTGTGTTTGCCAGGGCATTGCTACAGGGTTGCTGGGATGTTTGTCAGAGCGTTGCTATAGGGTTGCTGGTGTATTTGCCAGGACGTTGCTACGGGGTTGCTGGTGTGTTTGCCAGGGCGTTGCTACGGTGTTGCTGGGATGTTTGTCAGAGCGTTGCTATGGGGTTGCTGGGGTGTTTGTCAGAGCGTTGCTATGGGTTTGCTGGTGTGTTTGCCAGGACGTTGCTACGGGGTTGCTGGGATGTTTGTCAGAGCGTTGCTATGGGGTTGCTGGGGTGTTTGCCAGGACGTTGCTACGGGGTTGCTGGGGTGTTTGCCAGGACGTTGCTACGGGGTTGCTGGGATGTTTGTCAGAGCGTTGCTATAGGGTTGCTGGTGTGTTTGCCAGGGCGTTGC